GTGACCTCGCTGACGCAACACTATTATAGTTTACAATTTTTTTTTCTTCTTCAGAATTTAAAGAAAAAGCTCATAAAATTTATACACGACATTATTAATTAACATTATCTTTAGTTCAGGACAGAACAAATTCTTCAGATTCAGAGAAATTTATCTTCCAGGGAAGAAGGGAGAATGTAAACAAGAAAAGTATTTTTCTTTTGGCCAGATTTTTTAAAATAACTCATAAAAACGTTGAACTATGCTATATTGCTATTACAGACACTGTCTTAAACAAACGTACACCAGGTCCAGTACTGCCCTTTGAACTACTTCCACCCATTTCGATCATACCCCGTAAGATGACCAGGAATACTTATTGTTCCTAACAGTTAAGTTTTATTCTAACAAGGTACTGAGCAAGACAGCGAGATTTCATTCTTAGATCACACATCTGGACAAGATGTTTCCTATTCACATTTAAACAGCTCTAATGGGGTTTTTGTGACATCAGTTTCTTCCATCATATTTCTCATGAAAACAGCCGTCGGTTATCGTGTGTGGCTAAAAATTTGTAAACTTTGGAACTATACGCCTTGGTAAACATCAAATATTTGTCTGTTAACTACACTAGGAGATACGTCCAATCTCATTGAAACGACAGGAGGTTTCTCTTTCGTTACTTTGTGGATTAGTGCGTTAAAGATTTCCTTCTTCCAAATAATGTGTTTTCTCGCATGACGTCGTTTAACGATCATACGAATATCCTCACCCCAATAGGGAGATGTGATATTTTATCCAGCTATAAGGAACTCTGGCGTCATTGCTCTGTAGAATGATCTGGTATTCCCAGTGAACTAAATATACACAAATCGTTCGTATAACGTGTTGAATAAAAACGTTACTCTTAAGTTTGTAATTCGGTGTTTCATTTGTAAGAAACAATGGATTTTCTCAGCATTAGAAAAACAGTGAAGATTTTCGGATATACTCAAGAAAACCTCTTGTTTAAGCATGAGGTATATCACTATGTATTCTGATGTAAAATGAATACATGGTTCCAGCACCTGATACTACACTTCCAATTAGAAACTACTTCTAGGTTGGTTGCGAAAGAAACTTTTAAGTTATACACAACGATTCCCAATTTTTTATGCAGAAACATTATGAAACGACTACTAAGATGTCAGATGATTTGATGGCGTAGACGACATAACTTTCCTGACACTATATTATTCATTATTTCCTATCATTTCTTTAGATGAAATATGTAAATATATCAAACTTGCATATTATCAACGAAAGAGATATACACGGACCATTTGATATAATAAAGAATCAACTGTTACGTCTCTGGTCGTTTGCTAATTTCCCGTATAATTTCTTCGGATGAAACTTTAGAGATACAAGTCTTTTCTTAAATAAAACTAGTTTATTCTTTCTCAGTTCAACATTGCAATACATTTAATTTCCACAGTCACGTTAACTTGAACACACGCTATAATTCACAACGATTTACACACTAGACTTAAGGCTTGACTCGATTATCTGTCTCTATCTCCCTGTCTGCTATTCAATTATTTTCTCGTCACTACTCGCCGGTATATATACAAAATAGATGGCGTCTGGCAAACACTCGAGCCTTCAGGACCGTTCGAGATACTCATTACGCGTTACCAGAGTCACGTGACTTCCGCTGTCGTAACACAACCGATGCTAAGCAAGGTTTTATTGGATTAACATTTTTTATCTACTGGAGAAAAGCAACTTCCCGTTATTAATGGACCTGTCTTGTTACTCTAAGTGGAATCAGTCTTACATGAAAATATTGTATTACACCACAAATAGAAAATTTAGATTATATTCATTACCTTCAATGTTTTTATGCTTCATTTAGCTTAACTATTCGGGTTCGTAAAATGTTAACTTTAAATGGGACATGTTTTGTTTAACGATTTACTACCTTTCATTGGTAGAACTTAGGTAAGTAACTTTAGATAAGCTACATACTGTTGTGTGTAAATAACACGTCAAGATAGACTAAATGAAACATCTAAAGAGTAAATCATATACATATATCAGTCCATATATTACACAAGAGTGAATGGAATTTATCTGTAGTTTTACCTGTTATCAGTAAATCATTAACAGCTACATGTTATTTCAATGATATCATCAACTACAGACAGTTGTAAATCACAGGTAGTATTGCAGATCATGAAATATATAAAACCCAGTTAATAAAACCTGATAATCATGTTAATTATTGTGTTTATAGTTTTGTTCTATCGTCGTTTTGGACAATTTTTGTGATCTTACGTTGTTTTAAGTAACATGAATTCTATATGCCTTCATATTTCGTATACAATGTTTGTAATAGGTTATATTAAACAAAGTTACAGAAGAGAATATATGAGAAGAGTAATGGTGTTCGACAGAATACGTTTACCAAACATAATCTTCTACTTTTTAAGGCTATCTTTGTGATGTTTGAATTTGTTTAACATTAAACCTAAAACGGAATTCAACAAAGCTCGTCAGAACAAATTTGTGTTACTGTCGTGTATAAAACACACATGTTATGTTTTCTATACCTTCCTGTATTAAATTGAAATGTTTCGTAATTTGTTAAGTCAAGAACGTCGTTCATTTCCTTTCACTTTAGCTGTCCATTGTATGATGTCATTCACCTAGAGTAGCACTTTTTATCTTCTCGTTGTATGTGATGTTAGAAGATATATTTTCCATTGACAGTCAGGTGACCTCTGGAGGCAGTGACCATTTTGTAATTAATTGGAGAATGACTAGTCACGTGTGTCGCCTTAGTTACTCTGGGTAAGTCTGATGTAAGCGCTTGAAGTCACTAACATGAAAGTTATTTAGTCTGAATTACGATCTGGAAGAGATACAGTTTGGAACTTGAGATATCCGAGTCAGTACTAACTCTCTAGTAAAGTCAAGTGTTCTTTGTGACCAGTTAAGAATACATTTTTGAGTGTTTTTGTTTTAAATATTGTTTATTGTGACAGTATGCTTGTGCTTAATATTTATATATTTATCACGACTTCAATAGTCGGAGAACGTAGAGTTACTTCATATTAAATACCTTGTCGATTCTCTAGTGAACCTCATCAATCAAGAGAATGTGATTTACAACTGTCTGTAGTTGCCAGTGAACCTCATCAATCAAGAGAATGTGATTTACAACTGTCTGTAGTTGCCAGTGAACCTCGTCAGTCAAGAGAATGTGATTTACAACTGTCTATAGTTGCCAGTGAACCTCGTCAGTCAAGAGAATGTGATTTACAACTGTCTGTAGTTGCCAGTGAACCTCATCAATCAAGAGAATATCAGAAAGGCAAAAGTAATGGAAAGACCTATGAATCTTCAAACTGCATTAAACGATAAGTTATTTTTATTTCTTGAACTTAATATTTTAACAAAAATTATCGTATATAAACATTATGAAAAGTTCGCCAACTCTTAATTTATTAATTATAGTATTATTATTTTTGTTCTCCTTTTAACAAAGCCACAACGCAGAGAAACATTTTCTCCAGGATTAAACAAAGACTATTCCG